TCGAAGTGAAATGTACCGAAACTAATACTCCCTTTACGTCTTTCGTGATTTTACGGTGCGTGCAAGAAGAAGAACAAGAAGAAGACGAAGAATTCGACGAGGAGTAAAGGACGAAGGAAGGATCGGGTCGAGTTCCTCGGTCCCGGTCGATCCTCTCGTCCCTTCTGGTCCCTTCGATAGAAGCAGACAAAGGCAAAGGCGCCTTACGCTCTCTCCGATGCAGTCTCTTTCTCTTCCTTTCACTCTCTCTTCTCTTCTCTTCGTTTCACCTCACCTTGGCCGCGGCCCTTCAACTGTCTGCGACCCACGCCCCACCTTCTCTTCCTCCATCCGAACTACCACCACCATGGTCGCGTTAGCAGCCACCTTCTTCGACCACGAGCAACCTTCTGCTTCTTCTTCGTCGTCGTCTTCTTCTTCTTCTTCTTCGACTTCTTCTTCTTCTTCGGCGACGCCGTCTTCGCCTTCTTCTTTCCACTCGCGGCAGCTTTCTAGCTGCGTGTATTTGTGCGAACCGCTCCTATCTGTGTACCTATACCGATCCTCGTCCACCTGCCTCTTCTCGGAGTTATTTAGCCAACTGAACCGCCCCGATTTGCCCTAGGCGAATTTCCGGAACGACGGAGAACCTTGGGTAAACGGAAACTCGGCTGACGCGACGAAAAAAGAGCAGGTTAGATCGCGGTCACGGCTCCTCAACGAAGTTTATTATTTTTCTCCTGTGCTCTTTTAATCTGTCGAACTTGGAGAAGACAGGATGAAATTTAGTACGACGGTAATCCTCTGGGCGAAATAAACGCATCTGCCCCGAATTAATTATGAGAAAACTGATATGCAAGTATCGGAGCTAATTATTCGATAACGATTGCGGTGTAGCGAACTCGTCGGACTTGAAATCTTTTGCTCCGGATACGCATCCGGTTGGAAGAAATATTTTTCCTTCAAAGTAATTAACATGAAATGTAACAATTATGAAAGGTTCAGTAGTTTTACGGAGCTTCCACCGAAACAATTCATCTTAAAATATTTGTATCTTTTACGATTTAGAATATCATATATGAATAAATATAAGAGCGACTATAAGTATAATTTTTTCTCAATATTCCGAGATTGTTCGTTTATTTTACGCATAAGTCGCACTAAATTTCATTGAAACCGGAGAAGATCAGGTCACAAGCTCGCCTTGTTAGGCTCGTACGTCAGAGGAATGGCTCTTCGAACTTTCGAGTAAAGTTGGCCTATCGATTCCTGAAGAGTTTCGTTAACGGGTAACTCGAGGATACTCGAGAGTTCACGATGGTTGTTAAGAAATTTAACTTCTTCTAATTTTATTCCCGCGTGCGTCCGATTTTGAAGAGGTTCTCGCTCGACTCGATATTATTTCGATTGAATTTATATCGAAATACCGCCGTAAACACTGTTTTTCCGTGTAACGTCGACACCGAGATCCTCTCCGGCTGAATCTGCCCCGTAATTTTTATTCCTCTCGATTTCTACGTCTCTTTCATCTACCATGCTTGGCCTCGGGCATCCTTGGGCCCCCGGTATCCTTGGGCAAATTTATGCTTCTTCAGATTACGGATAATAATGGTTACCCTTGTGCCGTGGCGTGCTCGTCTTAACAATTTGCCAGCTAGAATTACGACCGACTCTTTTACCCCGCAGCGGTTTATCGCTACGATACGCGTCTAGCCGAGCCACGTAGTCATTGACACGCGGTATCGCTCGATTTTTTCCCGTCCGTGGAAAAATTCCCCTGCGAAAATTGCACCTGTGCCGTGTTCCTTCTTCAGTTTCTACCGAGAACGAGCAATTCCACGTTCTTCGACGTTGCAACCTTGTAGCGTGCCGAAGGATCCTGTGGCTTTGGCACACACGCTCGGCCGTTCGATCAAGTGTGCGTTGGCAAAGCAACGCTGAATCCTTGAACGAGAATTTACGCGGTTCAAGAAAGTGGAGCGAGCTACTTGATTTGAATTCCGAGTTGCATTTCAGTTGGAACAACGCTTCGTCGAGAACAAAGAACAGGAGACATTTTGTTTGCACGATTCGCTGCGGTTCTTATTTAGATCTTGCCCTTAGCTGTTTCGTTTTATTGTCTAGAATTAGCCACTCACTATCTGACTATTAGCCTTCTTGGTTTGGTATAAAGTGATGTATCATTTTCAAATCATCAAGTTCTTCAATCTCCTTAATTTCTAAATCCTCCAATTTCTAAATTTTTTAACGTTCAGACATTTCTAAATGTTCAAACCTTGAAACTCCCAAGTTCCCAAAACCTCTTCTCAAACTCCCCAAATTCACAAAATCTCCACATCTCCGCCAAGTAGCCTCCGCAATCCGCTTATTCGTTTAAAGGTCGCAAACAAGCACAGTCGTATTGTTTACATTGAATTTGAGTGTATCAAAAGGGGTAGGATGGTACGTAACCATTGAATGAATATAATCATCGAAGGTAAACCGGCTGGAATGAAGAAACGAGACGAGAGAAGGTTGGATACAATGGGTTCCGAAAATAAAGCGTGATCGATGAAACTGAAACAGGATTTACCCTAGCGATTCGAGGACATGCGTCGACGCGTTTCGCCGTTACATGTTCCTCGTCGTGCATATAATCGTTGCATTTTTAGCCGGCAATTCTACAGGGACGAGATGCGTGCATAAAAGGTGCAACACCGGCTTTCTCCATTCATTAACGCGTCCAATTCCGCGCGCGTTTGCGACACGAAACGGTGTAATCGTCACCTACGCAACGAACAACGCCCCAAAATTATTGCCATTCATTTATTTACGGGACAAGCCCTTTCAAATACAGACATTATTACTGATGAATACATCATCCTATATATATACTACTCCGCACAAATCTTGATCTACGAAAAGTCTCTTCATCCACAAATTTATTTTTTACAAAATATTACTCCTTAATGATTAACCCTTCTCGTGTAGTTGTAACAAGTTTACCCCTCTGTTCTTGATTGTCTCTTCTCAATAGACATTTGACATGTGAACATAAAATTTTCTATCGCATCATGTTAATAATTCACAACGACTCAAACAGTTCATCCACATTCTTTGACCATTTGCTTCTACCTTCTTCAAAATAAGACTGCAGCTAACAGAGTCACGGAAAATTACAAAAAGTGTATTAGATATTCGTCGTCTATTTTCCTAAGAAGATAATGATTATGGGATGAGCAGATTCTTCGACGAATATTCGTTGAATTGGTTGAAACTTGGAAAGACGTTATAGTCGCAATTACGCTCGCGCCCCCGAGACGACCTCGCGCGGTCCAACGCGTGTGACGCGCGTGTCCCTTTCCTTTCCTCGTCGCGTAAACGCCTCGAATCGCGAACCGCATCGTGTGTGCAGTTAAGGCCGTATCGATGTCAAGATTGTGCCGCAGCGGTTGTCCCTGAAGAACCATGGACGCCCATGACATTGCCGCGTCGCGTCGAAGCAAGGATCTTCTGTTCTGACCAACACGTTTAACTCCGCTGCTCGATTTCTCGGCTACTGGATAAGAATCAGAATTACTTAGCCACCTTTCTGCTTTTAAATCACCCACATCACCTGGTAATTTATGGATTTTGTGACTTGTCAAGTCATGAACTGGAATATTGAAAAATTTGGGAACTTGGAGTTGAGCATTTAAATATTTGTACTTTGGCAAACTTGCGTACTTGGAGATTCAGGGGGCTTAAGATTTTGAAGCTCTAGAAATGTAGATACTCTAGAATTTACAAATTGTAAACTTCACAATCTGGGAACTTGAGAAATTGCAGGAATTATTAAGATCTGATCTTCAGAAATTCTGGAATTCAGTGTAGAAACAGATTGAAAAAGTTCTGTACTTGGAAAATGTTAAACCTTTTGGCGTTAAGGCACCGCCAATTTGTAATTTAAATGTTAAACATGAAAAGCTCGCTGATTTATCATCCGTTATCGCGTGTAACCCATCTCGATCGGTTCACGATCGGAGAAGATTGTTATGCGTTTCTCTGTCAGAGTCTAAGTGAATTTTTTTAACCGCCGCATGATTTACGGCCGCGTTACTCAGTCCATATAGTCGCAATTAAAAAAGACGCTAATGAACGTAGAAACGTGACTCGGAGCGAAGAGAAACGGAAAGGCAATGGTATGCGATCCGTAGAGCCGCGTGTGTCGCGTTCGCTGGCTCGGTTCGTGCACCGAAGGAGAGAGTGAACTGAATGAAAGGGAGCTTGGAGAAAGAGAGAAAGGGAGAGGAGAGGATGAAGCCGCGAAGGATGGCCGCGAGAAAGAGAAAGGTAGTACGACGACAAGGAGAAGGAGCGAGAAGGACACAGGTGAAGCCCGTGGGAGAAAGAAGGATAGGGCGAGGAGTGGTTCACCTGCATTGCTAGCATTGCGCCGGCTCAAGGCCAGAGAGTCTGCGAGACCGAGGACCAGACCGGGTCGGGACCTCCTTCCTTCCAGTTTCCTGCACCCTGCTCCTTCTTCTATCGTCCTTCCTTCTCCGCGGCATCCCGCCGCTTTCTGCTTCTCCTTTTTCGTACCGTACACGGTTCTATGTACGCTGATTGTTCGTCGCGTACGGCCAATTGCGCCATGACAAAACTTCCAAAGTATCTGACGCGTACAGGGTCTAAGCCGGTTATGGCCAACTATCGCGAGCTTGGATGTGGCTTTCATTTGCGACCAATTTCTTCGTAATTTCGTACCTCGTCGTTTCTAAACTTTTTGCTTCTCTCTTCCTACATTTATGAAGTTATAAATTTACTAATGAAAAGAACACGAAACACTTTAAATATTCCAATGCGGTTCTTTTCGTTTCAAACTTATATGGCAGTATATTTAGAAATTGTTTACAGATACAAAAGATATATGATTAGAATATAAAGAAATAATTACCGATTAAAAGTACTTCGTGTAGAAAAGCGTGAAATCGAAATATTTGATAAATTATAGCGAACGTTATAACGATAGATACGTAACTGGTTTTTCTGTCTGATTGCAGGTTGTAAAATCAAAGCGCTTCGAGCAAAGACCAACACTTACATCAAGACCCCGGTGCGTGGGGAGGAGCCGGTGTTCGTGGTAACAGGCCGCAAAGAGGACGTAGCCCGCGCGAAACGGGAGATCCTCTCGGCCGCGGAGCATTTCTCTCAAATCCGAGCGTCACGCAAGAGTTCGTTGGGCGCGCTTCTGGGCGCGCCTCCTGGACCGCCAGCATCGGTGCCAGGCCACGTGACGATTCAGGTACGAGTCCCGTACAGAGTGGTCGGCTTGGTTGTAGGGCCCAAAGGCGCGACCATCAAGAGAATCCAACATCAGACGCACACCTACATAGTGACGCCCAGTCGCGACAAGGAGCCGGTGTTCGAGGTGACGGGATTGCCGGAGAGCGTGGAGGCCGCGAGACGCGAGATCGAGGCTCACATAGCCCTGAGAACCGGCACAGGACCAAGTCTCGACGATTCGGAACTGCTCAGTGTACTATGTCGCGGTGGTTTGGGCTCGATTCTGGGTTGCCTGGATCCACCGGGCTCGAATGGCTCGAACGGATCGAACGGCGCGTTCTCCAGCAGCGGCAGTTGCAGCAGCTCGTCCAGTAGTTCCGGTGCACCTGGACTGAACGATATCGTGGCGATTTGGGGCGCCGGGGTCGAGAGGGACGAGAGCCTAGGCGAGTCCCCGTCATTCGAGTCCGCATCCTCGATCTGGTCGTTCCCCGGCGTCGCGTTGCCCTCGAGGCCATCGCCGCCGGGCTCGATCCCGACATCGCCCACGGACTCGCTGTTGGGACGACGGGAATGCGTGGTGTGCGGCGACAAGGAGGTCACCTCGGCCCTCGTACCGTGCGGACACAATCACTTCTGCCTGGACTGCAGCAACCGGGTCTGCGAGAGTTCTGACCCCAGCTGCCCCGTCTGTTCGAGGCCCGTCTTACAGGCGCTTCGTATCTTCTCTTAAACATCCCCCGGACATACGAAGAGAGAGGGAGAGAGAAGGAGAGAGAGAGGAAGAGAGCCAACGGATCTCCGGTGTGGCTCCTTTCGCGTCGCGGCACCTGGTACACCGGCTAATACCGATTTTCACCGATTGATCTGCACTTCGACCTTGCCGGCTCATCCAGGAACGACGGCGCCGGAGAACGCCCATCCTCGAATTTTCCGTACAGCTCGTGTCCCCCGTTCGTTTCAGACCGCGGCGCGTTCATTCCGCGGCCACGTCGGGGGAGCGGACGCGCACAATGTCTCAATTCCACTGCTGCCAATAACCTCTTCTACGCGCCGGGAATTACCCGATAATACTTTTCGCGTCGTTCCCGCCGACCGGATACAACGAAGTCAGCTTTTAAGTTCTACGAGATAATAGAGGACGAGAGAGAGAGAGAGAGAAGAAAAACATACTCGCTCATTCATTGTCATCGTTTTCATACTTTAATAAATCGAGCTTGCAGGCTCGAGATTCTGTCGTGCCGAGAGCGGTCAGCGGTGTTGTAACTTGACGGAGAGCAATCGGGGACTCTGATCGACGTCGAACGGGAAGACCGTGTCGTGACAGAAGGATCACTTTTTGGCTTTGCCGCTTTACGGGCTTGCCTTCGAACTATTGGAAAATAAATGATGCCCACCGATCGATACACGCGTTGGTTGCGGGACCGAGACGCCCACGGACTCGCTGTTGGGACGACGGGAATGCGTGGTGTGCGGCGACAAGGAGGTCACCTCGGCCCTCGTACCGTGCGGACACAATCACTTCTGCCTGGACTGCAGCAACCGGGTCTGCGAGAGTTCTGACCCCAGCTGCCCCGTCTGTTCGAGGCCCGTCTTACAGGCGCTTCGTATCTTCTCTTAAACATCCCCCGGACATACGAAGAGAGAGGGAGAGAGAAGGAGAGAGAGAGGAAGAGAGCCAACGGATCTCCGGTGTGGCTCCTTTCGCGTCGCGGCACCTGGTACACCGGCTAATACCGATTTTCACCGATTGATCTGCACTTCGACCTTGCCGGCTCATCCAGGAACGACGGCGCCGGAGAACGCCCATCCTCGAATTTTCCGTACAGCTCGTGTCCCCCGTTCGTTTCAGACCGCGGCGCGTTCATTCCGCGGCCACGTCGGGGGAGCGGACGCGCACAATGTCTCAATTCCACTGCTGCCAATAACCTCTTCTACGCGCCGGGAATTACCCGATAATACTTTTCGCGTCGTTCCCGCCGACCGGATACAACGAAGTCAGCTTTTAAGTTCTACGAGATAATAGAGGACGAGAGAGAGAGAGAGAGAAGAAAAACATACTCGCTCATTCATTGTCATCGTTTTCATACTTTAATAAATCGAGCTTGCAGGCTCGAGATTCTGTCGTGCCGAGAGCGGTCAGCGGTGTTGTAACTTGACGGAGAGCAATCGGGGACTCTGATCGACGTCGAACGGGAAGACCGTGTCGTGACAGAAGGATCACTTTTTGGCTTTGCCGCTTTACGGGCTTGCCTTCGAACTATTGGAAAATAAATGATGCCCACCGATCGATACACGCGTTGGTTGCGGGACCGAGACGCTACTCGCTCGGAGAAATGAATTAGGCTGAGCTAGCTGTTTCGTATTGATTGCAATAACATTCCATTCACTGATTGTATTCACGGTATTTTCGTATTTTTATATACAAATTCTTTTGAATCGAAGGCAGTCTAGAAAATGGAATGGTCGAATTTAATCGTTATCGAATTCGGATCGATACAATAATTGTTTAGTGTAAATGTTGTTCTTTTTATATAATTGACAATCCAGAAACGACGGCGATCTCGCGGAAACGCGCTCACAATTTTTAAATATTTTTCAATTTTATCCTTCTTTCACCACCATGTTTTTACGTTGGTGAGATCGAACTTGTAATTTTTATTACGCAATCATTTAACGAGACACTGTCAGAGGTGCTTGCAATCATTGACGAGTAAAATTTCTACGAGTTGTATATTTTTATTTAAGAAAAACGATGGTCGTAACGTTCCATTTATCGTTCCGGTTTAATGAAAACTACAAGCTTCGATACTCGTAACAGAAACATTTTAGCGTGACAAAAATTTTAACGGAGTTCGATTGCTCTCTCGATCGTCCAAATCGTCCGCGGTCACGTGACCGATAACTCCAATATGGCGGCACACGAACAGCTGATCGCGTAGCGTACGAACGGAAAAATGCGCAAAACACCGACAAAGCACGAATCTCAGCGAGGATGGTCGAAAATCTTTTGTATAAACCTGGCAAAATCGTGTCAGAGTTAGGTCACGTGATCGTAGGGCTTGTTCGATAAGAAACCGAACAACGTAAGGTGCATTCGTCGATGCCTGAGTTTCCAAAGTTTCTCCGCCAAGGATTTTTAGAGTCTAGCGAACGATCTGTTCATGCCCGTCGTTTTTTGACCAACTAACATAGGGAGTCAAGTATAGTCAGAATGCCTATTTTTCTTCTTCGCCCTTTTTAACACACGACAAGCGAAAACTTTTCGTGGAAGCGAGTTTGTCGGCCGATGCACCGATGTTAATCGACCGTTCGAGACCTGCGAGCTCGTCACATGCAACCGCAGCGAATGATTACCGAAAAATTGCCCACACTTGACGCACCCAACACAAACACGCGTACACGCGTATACACGTACACTATACAGGCAGACAGTCAATCTCATTCATACAGGCACACATCGCACGAGAGAAAAGAGATGAGTAAAAAAAAAAAATGAAAGAAGTTATGGGTGAGTGGTCACGTGTCCCTCGATCTGCTGGGAAACTACTTAGATGATAGTATTATAAAAAACAAAAATCACGGCGTGCCCGTTCCACCCAGCCTCCCTCGCTACTAGAGTATTATCTTACCTTTATATAAGCGACATAGCAATTGAAATAATAATAATATTAATAATATATATATTATATATATAAATATAAACATAAATAAATAATTAAATAAATATGGTGTCAGGAGAAGTCTGACGACAGTAAGAGGGATGATATTTTATCGAGGAGATTTAGATTTTGTATTTTTCGCGCGTTTCGTCGACGGGACGACGGGTGGTTGGGGACAGCTGCACACGCCGTGGACAAAGAGGAAATTATTATAAGAGTTATATTAAAAGGAAAAACGATACAAAAAAAAAAGAAGGAAAAGCGGAAACGGCGCTCGAAGGGAAACAAAACTGTGTTTAAAAAAAGAAAAAACAAAGAAAAGACGGCGTATCGCGGGATCTCGTGAACCGACTCTCCCCGTAAAAAAGCTGAAAAGAACGAGAACAAGGGAAAGAGAAAAGCTGTCGGTCGATCCCCACGTGGTTCGCGGCCGACTTCTTCCCCCCGTTGAGTGTATTCTTTGAGCTCTAGTAATAATAATAATAATAATCGAGCGATGTAGCTCGCTATTTCGAAGAAGAACTAAACCGACGTATCTTTCACGTAGGGATCGACGACCCGTGTATTTAGCTTTTCTTTGGAAACTCGTCATTGCATTATATTATAATTATATTATATTGCATTATTGTATCGCATAGATGTATTATCGGATGCTATATAACGGTGTCACTCTACCGCGCCCTCTCGTTAGGATAACGTGTCAGGCGAAGAAGGACGACCAAGCTTTATTTCGTTCTTTCCATGGTGTCTCGTTCCTCGTCCTTCCCCGCTGACATCCTCGTGGACGAGTCTCATGATCCCATTAGACGGCGAAAAATGGTCATGACCCGTCGTGCCACGAGCGTGGGCCCAAAAACTGCGATATTCGTTTTACGGTACGCACGAGAGGGTGGCCGGTACGTGTCTCTATGTTCTTCTGTGTTCCATTTACTTTTTTCCTTTTATTATTTTTTTTTCTTTCACGGCGAACGTCTCGTTGCCGTTCGCGCGAACGCGTCTCGAGAAAGAAACGAAAGCTGGTCAAGCTTTTTTCCTTTTCCTTTGCGTTAGATCATAACCAAAATCGAAGGACGAAATTACTTATTAGTAGACGTTAGACAGAGAGAGGGCCGAAATGTGGGAACGTCCGCGTTCGGACGTGCTCTCGATTCTACACCCCTTTCGCTATTGTTTTATATTTATGCCGACTTCGATCACGAGTTCGATTTCCTTCATCGTCTTCGTCGTTTTCTATTTCTGCGATCTCTTTTCCTTCGTCTTTGTTTCGTTTCTTCGAATCGTCGAAACTTCTTGTCAATCGTTGCCATTTTTAAACGAAAATATGCTCAAGTCGCAGCTCCGAACAAGTCGAGGTAATATTATTAATACGTATTACATATATATATATAAAAAATATATATATTATATATATTATATATGTCATCATCCAGTGTTGACGGATGGTCGGATAGAAAGAAGATATTTTTTTGGTCGTTCGAGCCGCAGCTCTGTATAGCGGGTGTTTCGGTAGTTTATCAGCCAAACTCAACCCCTCCAACCCCCTTCGTTCTTTATTTTTTAATTTTGTATATTTTTGACGTTTCTACGTCGAGATCGTGTTTTTTCCTGTGTTTTCGTTCGCCGTGTGTTTCGTTTCGATTGTCTCAGCCCCGTTTTATCCCGCGTCGTTCTCTTCGTTCGAGAAACAAAAATCTTCCTGCTTGTTAAAAGTGTTTCCATTGCGAGATAGTAGCTAACTACACACCTACACACACTCATGCAGCAGAAACAGTCTGTCACGCGTACGTTCGTTTAGACGCATTTTTCGTGCATACTGTATATTAGTATACATACATATAGTCCATTATTTGTTGCTACATACATGCATACACTCGCCTGCGGCGTACGCTTCTCTTGGATAAGGATTTATGTAGGCGGAGAAATTTCCACATCGTCAAATTTCAAAATTCTCAAATTCCTACATTCCCACATTCTCAAATTACCACATTCCCAACTTCTCTAATTCCGACATTCTCAAACTTTCAAATTACAAAGTTTCCAAATATCCTCATTACTACTCTTTCGAATTTACACATTTTCAAAACTTTCACAAACGACTAGATTTCCCAATTCGTAATATTTTAAGTTAATTCGAAATCACGAAGTCTCCCCTGCATCGCAATTATCTGTAGGAACGTACGCTCGCCACACTGTCATAAACAGCAGAAATGGGAAAAAGACATTCGCGAAATGCATCGTGCACACTCGGCATCATACACATATACGCGCACACGCACGAACAGAAACACGAATAAAAAAATATATATATATATTATAATCAATGCTAGAAAGAAAGAGAGAGAGAGAGAGAGAGAGAGATTGAATGTGAGAGAAAAGTTTATTATATTTAAGTTCGAGGCAAAGTAAATTCTATATTTTTTCTATGTTAAGTATAAATTGGAGAGAGAGAGGAGAGAGAGATAAAGATGCGTAAAAGGTACGGTGATGAATATAAACATATATTATATTATTATATTATATTATATATATATATTATTATATTATTATATTATATTATATTCTATATATATATACATATAAACTATATATTTATAGGTACTCTCTATAGCATCTATGTTCCGATATACGGGGACGCCGTCGCACACAGTGTAATTAAAGTACGGTCGGCGTGTTTGTACGTGTACATGTAGATCATGCCAGATAATCTGTCATTAACTTCGTTGCGTAAGCGTGACTCTACGATTCGAGAGCAGGGAAGGGTAGGAAAAGAGAGTAACAGAGGAAGGTCGCGAAACGAGACGAGAAAATGGACGGGGTTGTCGCTCTTGCGTTTTTTTCTCGCTTCTTCCTTTCGACAGAACCTTGAAAGACATGACGATCAAAGAGGACTCGATTCGACGATCACGCGGACAGGGAAGGGTTCGAGAGGTTAAACGGTGTAATCCGCGCGGATGTCGAAAGCGTTTTCAAGGGAAAATGGGAGCTCGCAGGTTTCCCGCGGGACACGTAACGGCAGAGAATGAAGGGCGGTTGCCAGAACTCGAATCGCATCTCGTCAGCTCGCGAATCGAAATTAACCCTCGTCAAAGCGAAACGCCACAGGGGGTGTGTATCAAAAAGACAGGTCACGATCGAAGGGCGAAACTAAAATGGCTGTAAGTACTATTTTTTTAAAGGTATTGCTTTTCGTTCGTAGAAAAATAATGATGAGAGCGTTGTTACAATTATTTATAGCTTTTATATATTTTGTCAATAAATAACGTTTTGACGATGAAAATGTTGTTTTCCTGTGAAACACACAGTTTCGACGCTTACAGTCTCGTTCGTTTCCGCTCTTCGATCGCGGAAGTTGAAGGAAAATCGTTGGTCGACGATATCGGGCCGCCGGAACTCGAGTCACCGGGACGTCTGACGGATATATTCGACGATCCACGTGTCTTCCCCCTCCCCGCGGAGCCACGGTGTCCCGGGAACGGTGAAACAAAAAACGAGCACAGTTTGTCGGGAATCTCCGCTAGACTTTGGGACAACTCTGGCTAGATAACACAACCTTCACTTTGGCCGAGGTTCCGACATATCGCGACGAAAGTCCGTGTCACGTTCCTCAGCATCGTCATCTTCGTCGTCTATTAGCTACCGCACTTAGGTCCGTGTCATTGTGTACACGTGTATATACGTACGTACGTGCTCGCTCCACTTGTTCCCGCCGATAACGTCGTCACGATCTCTGCTGTCCCCGTTTTCGATCGTCTATACTCGCGACGTAGACGCGCGGAAACGCGTTCACCACCGCTTCGAGTTTCCTCGATAACACCGACGTCGTGTCCGCTAACCAGACGCAAAATGTCGGAGCTAATTTCATTCCCCCCGAGGCTAATCACCGGAAACGGAGCAGGATTTACAGTGCCATACGTGAATCAAAACTGTTACTTTTATCTACTTTTTTTATTCAACTTTGATTTTTTCGCTGGTTGCGTTGCGAGGTTGGTGAAGGCTTGCTAGCTTAGAGGAAAGGGTAGGTTTTTGGGCTTATTAGGAAAATACGTTTGTACGACCATTGGCGTAATCGAGTGTTTCCGGATTTAAATTATCTGCAGAGTTCGGGAATTTGAAAACTTTGGGGTGAATCGAGGGGGTTGAAAAATTTAGAGTCGAGGAATTAAGAAATTTGAGAATCAGGGATATAGGAATTTTAGAAGTGACTTTGGGAATTTGCAACTTTCTTAAGTTAACTCTGCGTTAACGCGTAAATTTGTTAAATAAAGATTTTGCAATTTTGACGATTTGGGAGTTGTGGTAATTGTAGCTTAATTGCGCCAATGGTAGAGACTCACTTATAGCACACGGGAATAAATCCTCCAGGAGACTGCCTCGATTTCCGGCTCGATCTACGACGCGCGAATTATCCGGCGTTGTCTGACCATCAAGTTCCTTTTTCACTTAAACCGTTGGGCCGTTCTCAGTGGTGTCAGTCAACGATGTGTCGGACGGATCACGGTAAGCTCGCGACGTGATCCTTTTCCCCATTTGTCTTTCCATTTGATATATTCTGTTTTCAGTTTTTAAGTTGTTTATGCGCTTTCGAAAGAGTTATTATAAGTAAATTATGTAAAATATATATAGATATATATATACACACATACATATATATATATTTTTATAAATATCCAAAATATAATAACGTATTATTATAATTGTTATTTAATCTATTTTTCGTTATTTTATACAAACGTATTAAAAGTCTTATTTTTTTATCGAGATTAAAAATAAAATGGTGAAGTGTAAAAAAGGGTATTGTAAAATTAATTATTGTTTTTTATTAACGGTTTCTCGCTACGGAGCCCGGCTCGACACGACTTTTCTACCCTGCTCTTTTTTTCCGCGTGTCGCGAGTTCGCGGGGAAACGTCGATGACCTCGCAATAACCTGCAAACCGAACAAAAAGAAACGATGTTACAAACTAGAACGATATTAAAGAAGCTGCAATCGCGTAGCGTACCGAACGTTTCGATCTCGCCATTCTCGCGAGCGTTCGCGTTTGATATTTTACGACCGTCCCTTAACCGACCCTTCGAGAAAGGGGCTCTCGGATCAGATCGATAGAACGCGAGCAGTCCGACACATTTAGCCGGCGAACGAGCCAAAATTCGGACGCGAACCAGTCGAGAAGTTCTCTTCTCGCGTCGCGATTTCGACACTGCTCGAACGATCGTTGTCGGGGTCGAGGTTACGTCGCGGATCGATACGGGAATCGAGGCGGTGGTCCCTTCTTTCGAATGCAACGAAACTGTACGCGTCGTTACCCTCGTGGCGACTTGGCCGTGGTTGAACGAACTATAAAAAATGAGCATATGCTGTGTATCTTTGTAGCGCGTTCTCTCTAGGAGGCATTTATCATGTTTTAACGTAACGAGTAATGCGTGTAAGGTTAACTTAATCGTAATCGTATTAAAGCGTAACATTTAATGATTACTGATAGCCATTGGCTGTGACCGATAACTGCCATTTTCATAAAACAAAGACGAGAAAGCGAGAACGCGTTCGCGTTCCGCGCCACACGACGAGATTACGAGTAGACCATACTGTGCAACACTTTCACACTCGCGAGTTCACACACACACACACCACATACACATACACGTACACGCGTACAATTAGCCACGATTGAGTCGCCGTGAGGTGACAAACGGATTCGACGGCGAGAATAACACGACGACGATGGAAACGAGACCAAGAGATACGAGATGATCGCGAGCTAGGCTTCTCTTCCGTGATCGAGACACTGGTATTCGAGGGAAATTAAGGCGAACGAACGATTCTCGTTCGACATCTTTTTGCTCCCCTCGCGAGTTCTGGATATTTAGCGAGAGAAAGAGACAATGAGGTTTTGACACTAGGGTGAAACGGCGTGCGATTATATTGAGCAACTGCAAGGACACGTACACCCATACGACGATACATATCTCAAAGAATAATAACTAAACGTAAGGGAGATTATTAGGAGTTAGTAGGCGACAGAATAAGAATCTAGCGAACGGAGATTAAAATGAAAATGCAGATAATTATAGGTATATCGAAACGTATATATATATATATATATACATATGTATAGATGAATATATATTATATATAAAATATATATTATAGAAAAAAAAAGAGAGACGGAGAGTGACGGAGAGGTGGAGAAAAATAGATGATCGTTGTTGCTTAATTTTTTTTCTCTCTATTTACTATATACTTGTATTTTATTGAATAGCTCTATATTTGATTATCAATATTAATTAGTAGAATTTATTATTATTGGTCCATACACACATATATATAATATATATACATATATATTTCGAGTATATATCCGTGCTGCTTGAGTGTATATCGGTTCGTTCGATCGGTTCATCGATCTGCGAGCCGTGTTTTTGTTTGTCGTTCGTTTGAAACTCTATTTAAATTGTTTTACGCTTCGGGATCGATCGGTCGATCAGTCGCAACAGCAGATCGGGGTTCGTTTGTTCGATGGGATCGATGGACTACGCGTACGTCCATTATCTCTAAGCGTGCCGAGTCTAATTCATCATCGTACTCTTCTTTTTCGTTCTCTCGGTGCAAACTGTCGATCGACGATGGATAGTGATTCGATACGAGTGAGATCGTTCGTTCGTGTATCTCTAATATATTGTACATTACAGAGAAGATATTATATTCGCGAGGTAAGGGCGTTCACGTGTTCGAGGGCAACTCACTTGTATTATTCTATATCGAACTGTGCGTTCGAACAACTCGAATGTTAAATTACTTACGAGTCTACTTAATTATCGTAAAGAACGAGAGAACGTAGCGTATGGTCGCGTTTCAAATCTGAATCCGGAGAGGAAAGCACGCGTCAGCGTCGAAATATGTCGTGTTCACATAGGTGTTGCAGTTTTTGAACAAACTTGGATCGTCTCAAACCCATCGCTGCGAGTTGACGTCGCTCACCACTTGAATCGCTAACGAACACCAATGTAAACATGGCATTACTTGTCATTTTTTTTTTATTTTTCCAACTTGTAACGTGTTTTAATCCGTATCGTTTGCGTACATTCGTGAATTACGATTTCATACTTGTTCTTGAAACGAAAATGGAATTCGTCAGGGTAACAGACCTGGAGATACAGTTGAAATTAAGTAAAACAATTCTTTTTCTTTGTAACAAATTCTTATCCGGGACCATCATAGTTGATACCATTTTTTTGGAAAAACTTTTACTATTAAATTTAAAATATATATTATAGAAAAAAAAAGAGAGACGGAGAGTGACGGAGAGGTGGAGAAAAATAGATGATCGTTGTTGCTTAATTTTTTTTCTCTCTATTTACTA